TAAGGAAATACCAAGTACTTTGGTTTATATTTATATGAAAAATATAAATGCCCCCCCCCCCTTTCAACATAAATGATTTCAACAAAATGTTACATATCTTTTCTTCGCGTTCCTAGTTCCTAGTATAGTGTTCCTACCTTGGTACAAACTTGATTTATTTGCGCGAGATTCGCTCTCGTTTCTCCCTTTTTACCGTACTTGTATTGTACTTGACATTTCCCCAATTGTGTAAGATCGAGATACGCGCCGGGCGCTAATTATTACCGCGATGCAGCAATATCGTAATGGCGTAACGTCATGATTTTATTTCAATACATAATGATATGCGTCGTGGAAAACGTCGTTGATTACGTCGCGCCGGTATAGTTATTCATGTTTTTATGACAAAGCACGCCATCGCGCCAGTGGCTTTGCCAGTAATGTCACTATACTAATCGACTAATGTCATCCGTCGACCGTTCGCGATTATGGAAACCGCGCAGTGCGCACCTTCTCGTTATTATTAATAATTATATTTTGCGATGCGAAATGACGACTCTTATTTTAAAAGATTAATCGCACCGACTAGAGTGACTTAGACTCACCGAATATGTATTCTGACACAAGAACGTCGCGTCGCGTCGGTTTTTTACCAAAATGAAGTAGGCTTCCTCTCTTTCGATTACATATTTCATCATATTAAATTTTGCTTCAAGGTTTTTCTTCAACGAGACAAATATGTCGCTGCGGAAACAATTTATATTCGCAAGCGGTATTTGTGTCAGAGGTAACGAGCCGAGAACCGATATAAATGAATATAATATACGAGTATGTGTATAACAGTAAAAAATTAGAGCCTAATCTGACTTAATTTTGCTCATTGTCGCAGTCTCCTTCCGGTTCTTGAAAGAAATCGACGAAACTTCCAAATTAAGAAATCGTAGAAGGATTCGCGAATTAAGCTTCAAGAAACATCGCGATAACGTTGATATAAAAATACTAGTATAAAAAAAAGATATAATAAGTATGTCGCATTATTTCGGTCTGAAAATATGAAAATTTTGTTTAAAAAACATTCTTTTCACGAAAAAAGAATGTTTTCTTCGCGATACGTTTAGGAGTTGGTTTTTTTCGTCGCTTTTTTCGTGTGTTCTATGTATTATTAATTATATACATATACATAGCATATAGCTTAACTGCGCTAACTCGAGAGCTTCTTCGAAAATTCAGAAAGCGTTTCACCGCGTCGCGTCGCGTCGCGTCGAGTCGACGATGTGGAAACTATAAAAGCTCTGCCACCGTGCACGCACGAATCGTACGTGGTAGGTGGTGATGACGGATTCATGTTCCGTGGCAATCGTAGCATGGTCCGTCTATAGCGCCTTCCTCCTGGATTCCTGGATATGTGGTTGCACACCCTCTCTTTCTTCCTTCCTCTTTTTCCTCTCCATCTACCGAGCGATTCATTTGTCGGTCTTTGATCCACGATCCACGACCAACGAGCCACCGCCGGAAAATTAGAGAGATTTATTAAGCTCCTTCGCGCCTCGTGTTCCATCGACCATCGCTTCTCGTTATATTCGTTATATCCGTTCGGCATTCCATTCGCTATCGATAAATGAGATAGCGATAAAGGATCTATTTTTTTTTTTTAGAATTTTTGGAATCAAATATTCATCTCGCGAATTTATCTTGACAATGAGATGAGTCGTAGAACGATTATGTTGGTAACATCTGGAAGATTCACACAAGTTCGTCTTTTCGTTATGTATTCTTTCGCCAACATAACGTAGTGATATATATGTATAATTTAACTTTGCGATTGATATGCTTATATATTTGCCAAACTTAAAGAATAATTTTATTGCGCACGCACAAATAAAATATATCTTTCTCTTATCTCAAGCATATTAATGCAATGATGAATGCGATGATCGCAAAATATAAATTTTTGTTTGTGCGCTTGTGTGAGCATAGCGTCTTTCAACGTTCCCTATACCCTAAATAGCGGCAAAGAAAAGATACGAGAAGAGAGACAAGTAGGTATAGGTCTTTTTTTAGAAATTTAAATGAGAATTAAAGATAGTGTGATATACATGTCTAATGCTCTTTCAATCCGATTCCGAATAATCCGAACACGGAATTGCCCGTTAATGCGTAACGAAGCTGTATGTAGGGTACTTTTCACTATATATAATATTATAGTGGTATGCCGCGCGGGGTAGCAGTATAACAGCAGCGTGAGCGTTGATTCAGCGATTGAGAACAGGGTCAGAATTTAAGTTGGCTAGAAAGATACTCGGACGTGACGGGAGGATGAGAGATTCCAGACGTTTCCTTGAAAGTCACCGCGGTTACGCCTCCGCGATAAAGAGGTTTTGTAAGGGCTAATAAGTGTACGCGTAAAAGGAGCTCGGCAAATGGAAAATCTGCACCTGGCACCCCCTTCTCATCACCACACACACGCACACATATCTTTAACTTTATTAGGAAGCTAGTAAAAATATGACTAGAGAATGTTATCAGCAAATACATGTATTTGCCGACGCTTACCCTTCATACAATTGTTAGAAAAATATTGCCTTATATTTTACAATTTCAAAATAATTCTAGTTACAATAAATGACACTTTAGTTAATTTCACCAAACTTAACTTTCCAATTAATTGATAACCTGATAATTAATTCTAATTAATTTTAACACCTGACATCTCCGCGATTAATTTCACAAGTAATTCCGACTAATTATATATAAACAGTCTTAATTACATATTTTCATTATTTTCGCGATTAATTTATTTTTTATATTATATAACGTGTAATCGGTGTAATTAACGGACTGACGCGTGTTGCTTTTAACGAAAGGCACGTAAACCATTTTCTTTTCTTTTCTTTCCTTTTTGAGCAACGTTGGCGGTAAAAACTTTTCGCGTGACGTTCTCCTTTATTTCTCGACGTTAATCAGGGGGGAAGGGACTCAAGGGACCGCGTCGCCTTTGATTCGCAACTCTCGCAAGGGGGCTGTCACTGACGGTGGCGTAGGGTCGGTTGACCTCTCGAGGATTAACTCCGGTTAGCCGCAACACCTACGGCGAAGATGAAAGAATATGGAGGAGAAGGGAGGCGTCTTTTTACTGCCGGCGCCGTCACGCGCCGTCGATAAGCGCAGCTTCTCTGTCGAAACGCCCGAGACGCTCTGTCGAGATGTCGAGAGACCAGTGCAGTCATGCAGTGGAGCCTTATATCTCACTCTTGGCGTTAACGTGTCAAAAGTACACGACGAGACCCCCCTTGTCGTGGCACACGCTAGACTTTTTTCGTAATGTGCCTGCGCAAAGCGCAAAAGTCATTTCACGTAATAAGTTAATAGGACCTCACAAAGTAAATTTCGCGCCAACTAAATTAATAACTTGATTTCGCGGAACAATCTAATCAGCTATATATATATATATATATACCGCCAACGTTGCTCAAAAAGAAAAGAAAAGAAAATGGTTTACGTGTCTTTCGTTCTAGTGCACTCGATATATACTCGTATATATATATATATATATATATACATCCACGACTGTAAGTCGATTACATTTTAACACTCTTCGTGTTGTATCGAGTGCACTAGAACGCAAAGATAAATTTTTCGAGATAAGCACACGTTCTTTATTTATTCATCCTCTTGATAAAAAATCATACTCTGCGACTTGTATAATTATTAATTCTTTACACAAGAATAATAGATATACATAGATTGAGCAATTAACTTTCGATGAGAGATGGATATCGCTTACCGAAGAGGTACGAAGCCTCAAGTGGCCTAAGTAATGGAAATATCTCGGAGCATATATCCGGAGCAAGCGAGCCTACGTCTCGCTTCACTATTTTCCTCCTTTAGTTAGGGGCGAGGGCATTTTTGAAAATACGGACGAGTGCAAAACGTTTAGCTAGACCGGGAGAATGTAGCCACCGGCGATCATTAAGCATACGCTTGTAATATGTTTACACAGCGTTGTTCCTCGCGCAGTCATCAATCACGGCGAACGTCGAGTCAGCGCGCGGCGCGCCTCGTCGTCCGTCTTCCATCGTTCCACCGTCCACGGAGGCTTTAGAACTTGGACGTTTAGACGCTCGAGTTCCTTTCCATCTCGCTTGTCATTTCCGACAGTCGCGATCTCAAACCGTGGCATGGCTCGCATGATCGTCGATAAATCGTTGCTGGCTTTAATTACTAAGCTTTAATAACTTATTAGCTTTAATCGGTTGGTGCACACGATATACTGTCATGCGTCAACTGATAGGCGACGACTAATACTCTAAAAAATCTTGCTTATAATATATCGAGCACCTTGTTTGCGCACATTTTTATTATTAATATCAATATATTTTTACTATTGTAAATATTTAATTTAAAAAAAAAATAAAAGAGATACATTTTTACGAAATTGCATAAAATCGTGTTAAATGACTGACAAAAGTAGTCAGTAAAATTATAAGATTTAAACGAGTCGAAGAAAGAACGAGGAAAACATTCGTTTTCCGATCGAGATAAGATTTGCCCATGCATTAATTCGGTTTTTTTTTTAGGAAAGGAAGAGTTGGATGGAAAGAGAAATTTGTTCAGGAGAAATAAATTGTGCGTGTTTTGCGTTATTCGACCGTTTATTCCTCGTTTGGTCATAAAACGCCCCTCCAGGGCTATCGTACGCTCAACGATGACGAGAACTCTTAAAAAGTTGAAGGCACAATGGTACGATACCCGCGGGCCGCGGGTGGCATAATTTATTAAGGCACTTAGTAACCACGTTACTCTCACCAAGTGTCACGGCGCGTTTACTTTCCCGTCTTGGCTGGTCGAGAACGTTTTAGGCTCGTTCGGCATTTGAGACACCCAGTATAAATAGACGCACTTTGCTCCTACAAAAGGCACTTACTCTCTCTTCTTACTTCCCCCCACGATCTTCCGCAACTTTGCCAGTAACATCGATCGGTCGATTCGTTTCTTACGCGCAAATTACAATAATTCAAACGCTCGCAAAAATTTATTACGTAGAAACTATATATTAAAGTTGGCTCGCGAATAAAAGTTATGCGTTGTCGATTATAATATACGTTTCGTAGTTGTCTTTGTTGTTATAATTTTAGTACTGCGGATATACGGTACGTCAGCATTTTGTAAAAGTATGTCAGTATCACCAATGGTATGCGCTTATCGCCAGCAGCTAATTATTACTTTCTTATTATTACTTAATATCACCATATATGTATGTATAATATAATAAAATATGTGAGTCACGAGCAATAGAGAACTGTTTCATTGCACTCAACTTGGGCAAGGATTCATTAAGTCAGATATTGGCACAATCTTTGGTACAGTAACGAGACTATATACGTCTAATGATTTATCAGTTACTACACCTAACTCTCATTTTGTCAGTTGAATAAGCTTATATCGAAAACCGTCATTACACATAAAAATACACCTAACAATATAGAAACTATAGATATGCGCGTAAAAATTTTAATTTTTCAATTGAAATAGTTTTAGGCAAACTGATCTTTTTGATCGGAAAATAAATGATGCGGATACATTCTCATCTTTCGCGTAAGACGTGAGGCATAACGTGATGTAAAGATTGATATAAAAATACGTCGAAACTCCATTCCTCTCTTTCGAGATCTTATCGACCGGAATAAAAATGTAGTCGATAAGAGATCACACACGCACGACGACAAAATTTCGCGGTCCGTCGTTTGAAAAGCATCGAGATGTGTGAACGTTTCATTCTTTCCATCTCCATCTCGATATTTCGTTTTGCGATAGATGAAAGACGAACGCAGATAACACGTGTAACGCAGACTATCGCGGTCCATAGAGAGACGCGCTCGAATGCGGATGTTGCGGGTGCGTCGCATAGTGGACCGAATTGACGTGCGCCGATGACTGGCCATGATGGCTCGGGTAATGCGTCCAATGGCTACCTGCTGGGCCTGTTGCACCGTAAAACTGATGGTGCTCCTGAGATGTAGCGGGTACACCTGGAATCTGCATCGCCGCCGACATCGCGTTGTAACCGGTCGGGAGAACGGAACTCGCGGCACTCGTAACACTCGCGGTTCCCGTGGGGCCCGTGGGCCCCGTGGCCGGTCTCTTGGCGGGATTCGGCGGGATCCCGCCGACGGCCACCACGCTGTCGCACTCGTCCGACTCGCAATCCCGGAAGCCCTTGGCGAACGGGTTACTGGCGATCTTCAGCTGCGTTATCCGATGGTTCTGGTACGCGGTCACCGCGGTGAACCTGGTCTCCGGGAAGGAAAACGTCTTAAAGTTCTCCGTGCGGGGATCCGGCGCCGAGCCCGGCGGCGAGGGAGCGACCACCACGTGGCAGCGCGGCTGATAACGGTGCATCGAGTTGAGAATAATCTGCAACGCGAAAGGGACGATCAAAGTAAAACGCGCTTTTTGCGGAATATGCCTTGCCTTGATGACGCGAGAAAAACGGGGCACAGGGCACAGAGTACCTAGACTACCCTAAAGATCGGAGAATCTGTATAATCATCTTTTTTCCTCCTTACAAATTTTGAAAGGAAGGTAGAGATGTTATTCAAATTCGATCGATTAACATTAAATGATTAAATAGTAAAGCCATAGTAAAGCGGGGTAAAATTTTATGACATCCACTTTAATAAATAGATTCGATTTGACTTAAAGTGGAAGAAGAGAAAAGAAGAAGGTTGATTTTAATTCCCTCTCCCGGTTATCTCAAACGAGATTTATAAAATCTGTAAAATTAAAACATGTTTCCTTGTTTTTTTTTTAATTTCGTAAAAATACAGACCACACAAGAGTGACGGTACTGTAATGGTGTGGGTACCCAGCTACCCACAAGCGACCTAGCGTTACAAATATTGTGATTTTGTGACAAACGTAGGACGTAGGACGACAAACGCTTTCACGCAGCTCGATCGATGAGCACAATTTGGTAAAGTCGCCTTCGTACGAGGAACTAACCGAGAAAGAAAAAGAAAAAAAGAGATATACAAGGGAAAAAGAAGAGGAGGAATGGGGACTGGGGAGTCTGGGGACACGTGAAGCTCGTATTCGATGGAAGGAAGGAGCGCCACAGGGGGGCGGTCGCAATGTTTGACAGCCACGAGAGACTCGGTGACTAATTAGTATAAAAACTAACCCCCGGCCCGCAATCCGACACCCTCGTCCTTTCTTTGGCGCACTCACGCGCATATGCGCACATGCTTCGTGAGTAGCATGGCATATATGTATTAGTATATACCGAAACACGCGCGTGCACAGCGTATTCTATGCGAGAGGAAAAGCATGGCCCCGTGTGTGGCCGTCGAAAATTAGGACACCGTTTCTCGCGAGCAAACTTTTCACGGATTTCACAATTTTCTTTAACGTTTTGTCATGCTCGCAATAATTTATCTTTCAACGCATCGAACATTGACTCGCGCTCTTCCTAGTCTTCGTCCATCTTGCAGATCATGCACTCTACCTCTACAACTATTATACATCTTACGTTTTTTTTCATCCGGAAATACCTAACTAACTAGCTCATTTTTTCTCGGCTAAAATTTAGTTAAAAATTTACTGTTTTTTATATTCCTCACAATTTTTTACACTTGAATCTCAACATTTTTGCATTGATATTATAGGAATGAAAGTTTTGCTCGAATAAAATCAATTTGAAGTTATTAAATAAATAAAGAGACTTCTGGCTGCTCAGTGCTACGAGTCTCTCAGGAACGCCATATATGCGCTTGTGACTTGGTCATCGATCATCTCTGTGAGACATTTAATTATTTCTCGGGCAAAATAATTATGCTAAAGTTGAAATTCTACCTTTATTTAATTCCTATATACTATATTTATCTCCTCATCTACTTCTCCAGGATGAAATCTGGAGTGAAAGTTAAAGCGATATCCAGATATCCGGAAACACATCTCGCGATAGCGAGATGCGAGATGCGTCAATTAAGGACGAGCGCATCGGGGCGAGCATTCCTGACCCGCCTACAGCGAGTTTTTACGATTTTTTACGCGGCCTGGTGCCAGATTTTTCGGTGCGCAATTAAAGGAACAAACTGCTCTGTGTGTAGTGTGTAGCGCGAGAAAAAGAACGACCTCTCGCCACGGGTCAGAGGTCCTCTCCCGCGAAAGAAGAGCGATACATTCTTGGGAGAAACGCGAGAGCGGAGACTCGGAACTTTCCTCCTTCTCTGTGAGTCTCTCGAGTCTTTGAGTCTCTGAGCCGAGGATGTTTCAAATGTCAAATAATAAATCACGCCTCGAGAATACACGTCCTTTACAGCCTTTACGCGATTGCATAAATTTGAAACACGATAAAGATTACTCGAGTCTGAATACACAGAGTGTAAAGAATATCGCTAATATAAGCATGAGAGTAAATTTTATGCTATCATAATTTGTACAAATCTATTCATTTTTGAAAAAAAATGAAAGAAAGACATTCGAACAAGAAAATTAATCTTATTAAACGTGCATATATATATATATATATATATATATACACACTATTATACTGTACTGTTAGATTTGACAAAACTCGATATTGTGTCGAATACAATCGTATGGAAATCTCGTTTAGCGATTCTTGTCACCGAACGTGTGAACATTATCACTATATTCGCGACAGGAAATATCGCGTCGGATTTGAATTTTGAAAGAAAGCGAGTTGCTTGTCCACCTGACCTTCTTCTAACCTGCCTGCCTAAATTGCGATTGTCACGCGTGCTTACAGCTTACAGGTTACTTAAGCTTACGATGTCGGCATGTCGCGTTGCATTGCGTCGCGTCGCGTCGTTTCGTTCATCTGACGCGGGGTAAGTATAAGTAGGTACCTATGTCGCGACATCGCGACGCAATGAGTTTGTTTCGCGATCATGTTCGCGATCGTCTTGATGAATTTGGCACGAACGTGGTCGCGAGAAATTATTTTCGGCTCCGTATATAGACTTTGCACATCTACGGTGCATGACGCGCACACCGCCCGTCGCCATCACCATCGCCATCGCTGCTATTACGCGATCGAAAAGGTCATGTCGAAGCGCAATCATGTTCGTGATCGGCGATCGGACTGATCGGTATTCGGTATTCGGTCAGCCCGTGACTACAGACTCGCGATACTCGATGTTCTTGAAAGTCTTGACGATTTACATTGCACGTAATCTGACATATAGTAGATAGAGACGATAGAAACAGGCCCTTTGGTTCGATATAAAGGAGCGAGAGAAGAATACTCGATTAGAGATTTACCTACAAATGTCAGCAAAAAATAAACAACTCTTTAATAAGAAAAAAAACAAAGATCTTTGTGCTAACAATAAGAGATTAATATTTTTATCAATTCTTCTAAATTAATGCTGTACTAGATTCTAATACTAGTATTTGTAAGTATTCTAATACTTTGTACATTCTAATACTTTGATTTCCATTTCGATAACATTATCTGTAATTGGAACAGGAATTATTTATTGCAACGTTTATTTTATACACATTTCAATCTTTATATTCGTGATAAGTAGGCTTCGTTATTATACCTCGTAATAATAAGTTAATAACGAAACGCGCTGCACTCCTGAAAAAGATTTCGCAATCGATTCCGAATCAAGACATCGACGTCACACGATGTCAGAATAAGCAGATACGCTGACCGATGCTAATTCTTTCTCGGTATCATGCTCGTTACTAAGTACGGTCTCTTTCCCAGGCCTATAGATCATGCGCAGTTTACATTACATCTGTTTACGTTATACTTTACACACACGACACTCTTGCGTCTATCCGCGGTGACAGGAAGGCGAGAATAATACGCCGCAGACAGAATATTTCGAGCCATACGAATAGCGTGAAATTTAAACTATTTTCTAATTCTCTTGAATTCGAGACAAGCTTTTACATTAGCGATGTAACGAAAGCGTTAACTATTGTAACATAAACTTAAAGATTATAAAATATAATCAGAATCAGAATCATCATTTATTAGACGCTCTGGGACTACGTCCCATAAAGCGTCGAAACTAAATTACAAAAAGAGTGTCAAATAAAATATAAGACATTCGTGCATTCATATATAAAAAGTAACTACAAATGAAAGATATAAGAGTAAAGTAAGTAAAGAAAATACAGATACAAAATGAGACGTGTTGCCACAGTAACTTAGCGTTTACAACTGAAAAGAAATTGCCATAGTTGAAAATGAATTACAAAAGCCGTAGAACAAAAGATAGTTTACACAATAATCTCAAGATACGCTCAGGTCTACCGACAGAAATCTCATGCACCTAAAGATGAGAACAGGAATTTATATAGTTTCGCCTTGAAAGAGCCGATACACGTCGCGTTGCGAATGTCAGAAGGGAGAGAATTCCACAGCTCGGTAGCGGAGAAACAAAAAGATCGCTTAAAAAATTCAGTACGGCAGAGCGGAAGGTTTAGGACATCGGTCGGAGATCTAGTATTCCGCTGCATGTTTTCATGCCTAAAAGTAAAATTGTTGTAGATAGCTTGTGGCTTTTCCTTCTTGAGTACAGAGAAGGTCAAACTTCCCACCAAATATGACTAACAATAAGATCGATCTTGAGCCAGCCCAATCTGACAAGATACGGAGTGATGTGTTCGTCGCGCTTGAGGTTGAAGATGAAGCGGACACAATAATGAGAGAGAGAGAGAGAGAGAGAGAAGAGAGGACTTTTCTATCAAATAGAAAAAGATTAACGCATACCCTATATACAAATGTTTAATATCGTTGTGTCTAGTATAAGGAAACAAAATATGATAAATACGTATAAAAATTAATGTAGGATAAGTAAATCTTTAAAGGAGCTTTCACGGATATACTTGTAACATTTTTTTATTGATTTCTTTTATATTTTTACTAGAACATAATATAACGTTTCAAATCATCTTTAGCAACCATCAGTTTCAATTATTCGACTATACTGCTAATTATTTTAAGACAACCGACACGCGACGAGTGTACCTCGGTGAGAAAGGAAAGAAATCTCTGTAAGATACATGATGACGTTAATCTACAGGCGGCATCTTTTAAAGTTTCTAAATAGTGAATAATCTTCGTGAAAATACTGCGTCGCGTCGCGTCGCTTCTCTCCGTCGCGTAATTTCTCGTGAGCGACAGGCTCGTATCTCAGGTCAATTAAGACGAACTCGTGCGTAAACGACAAACACGTGGAAACCCCTCCGTATCTTTCATCCTACTTTATTATGTAGATGCGCGGCGCTTTACGAAACAACGATACTACGACACGCGACGCGACGCGACGATCGTGTAAAAATTCGAGCAAGGAGGATACATCGAGACCAAGTCGCGGTAAGATTATACTGGCGAAGATTAATCTTTTGTTTTGCCAAACTGCCAGACTGCCACAAATGTACTTATCTTCATTTTCAACTTTTATTTCCGATTCAGGAATCGATTATCGATGCTCGACGTTGTGAAGAGAAAAGGACTTGATATTTTCCAAATTATTCGTTTAAATGCATTTTACTTTACGTATAGATAAAGATGAGACGATATTAGTTGGTGGATTGTGTCAAATAAAATCCGATAGAAAATAGAAGATAGTTTAATTGAGCTGGAATAGAATATACGGTGCTGTGTTACACGAATTATAAAGAAACGTAAGCGTATCTAAGTACCGCTCGCGTAGCGCGGGATATATTGTTACTGCAAGGGGGACAGGTGTTATTATCACGAATACGTGGCGAAAATGTCAACTCACGTGTCCGTTGTCGTCAAGCTGATTGTTGGTCAATTTCAACTTGTCGAAGGAAATTGGCTGCTTCATCCAATGAGCACCACTCGCAGGACTGTCAGGATGCACGTGGATCCTAGGGGGTGAGACGGGATCGGCGCGACCCGCCACGACCCAGGCACTGCTGTGGAAAGCGTATCGATACCTCTTGTCATCGCACGGAATGAAATCCATCACCATCAGATACTCCGTGTTCGGGTCCAAGCCGAACAGTCGACACTGCCGATCACCAAAACCATCCTGTATAGCGTAGGTAACGTACATAGGTATATGTCATCGCGCTTCGGCGAACGAAAACGAAATGACGTTTTCGTTTTTCGTTCCTGGCGCGAATTTGTCGAGTATCGCGAATATAATCCTCACCTGAAACGTGGGAAACATTCGTCGTCCGGCTTTCGTAACGATCATCTCGGTGCCCAGCTGATGAAACTCCTCCCAGAGCGGCTTCGCCTCCAGAGCGACGCCGGCGCCGAGCAGCGCCGGATGGAGCGGCCGTTTCGCGTCCGCGCCCACGCTCGCGTCCTCACCGGAGGACCCGCCGCGGCCGCCGTTCTCGCTCGGATGATGGTCATCGTGATGACTATTGTTGTTGTTGCTGTCGTTGCGCGATTCCACCGTGGCAGAGCTGGGGGATATCGGATTCGCCGAATTCGACGTCGTCGAGTGAATCGGTAAAACGGCCTTTATCGGATGATTGGGACTGCGAGATCTCTTTACTCTTCCGGCGCTTTGCAAACAAGCTGGAAAGGCGTTGATGGAGGACTGAGAACGATTCAACCGAGAGATGTGCGTCGTATCGTGCGTTGACAATACGACGCTCATCCCTCGGTTAAATACGCGAAAAGAAGGACTTTTGTATAGGCACGCATAGATATAGAATGCCCCTGTATAATATTATATACTTGCATGGTTAGCGATATCGACGTCATCGCTTTACGAGAAAATTGCAAAAAAATTCAGCTGCACAGCACATTAGTATATAAACAGACTAATATAGATTTATCAAAAATACGCTACGCTCTACTCGGCACAGGGCAATATCTCAAAAATCTCTCAAGTTAGTCGGCTAAGTCGGCTTTTGCTCGCAATATCTTCACCTTATTTTTTACTTAACAATTCGCAGGTGTTTCGCACACGTGACACGTGCCAACTTCCGTTAACTTTCAAGTCAGCAACTTACAATTTGGAAATAGCCGAATGATCAATGACGTATCGCGGAAAGAAATCGATCTCGACGTAACGTTTTCTTTTTTCCGAAAAAGAAGAAACAAGAGATAAGCTCGAAAAAGAGAAAAGAACTGACGAATACTACATGTGTATAAGTAGAATGCAACGAAAAAGCTACAAACTAAAAGTGGCCAAAGAGAAGCAGTCGCTACTAACGTGTCTTTAGCCGCCGTTTTGACCATCGTGATAAATATTCCGTGTATGAATATTATAATGGCGTAATTGTTTGCCAATAAGTCGAAATATATCAATGTGCGCTTTCGAAAAGTTTCATGCACCTCTAAGAAAGAAAAAAAACACAAGAACCAGAACGTATCGTTCACCTTCCATTTGTTGCATCGGCGACGGTACAACGGGCAAATGCTGGTGCTGGTGTTGCTGATGTTGCTGATGATGATGTTGCTGCTGCTGCTGCTGCTGCTGTTGATGATGATGGTGATGGTGATGATGATAATGATGCGCTGACCATTGCTGATAGCAGCAATCGACGGCGATTTCGCGTCGTTGCTCGTGTTGCGCGTGCATCGTCAATTAAATCGGCGATATCGATATCGATTGACGGTATCGTATCGATTACCGTGACAGAAGATATGAATTATCCGCATGACTTCGTAATCCATATCGCGAAATTTACTTCAACTTGGTGCGCCCCGTGGCACACGTGCGCACGATTCCTCGGCATCTTCAACATTCCAAAGTAACGCAAAATTTAATTTAAAACAACGAGAAACGACACTCGCGAATTATTTTCATCGTCGTGGTATTCTTGGGGTATCAAAATCGATTCCCACTCGAAGATCGAAGGTATACACGTACAATGTCTCTTGGATCGAGAAGACGCGCACTTTACTGAAAATCATTGTTGGAATAATTGCGATCGTAATAATCTAATAATCGCGGGTGGGTGACGAGCGACGATGGTTCGCCCCGCATCCGCATTCGTCCGTAATTTCGCTTTCGAGAGCGGGCTTTCGTCGGGAGAATCTCCCCTTTCGTTTCTCGTTTCCCTCCTCGCGCGACGATGTCTCGTTATTAACCGACGTCGTCAGTAACGTAACGCGCGTGTGAAACAAGCGGATTTCTTCAGCGTCTCATGACACGCGGCTCCCCATAGTCCCCATTGAAAGAAGATCCGAGCGTGATTTCAGCGGGCGCCGCGACACCGGCGTTCCGATCCCGCGATTCCCGCAACCGAGTGCCCGACGAACCTCAGCATCGTCGAGACGAAGACCGCTTGCTCGGCCGTTAACAGGACTTGTCCTCACCTCCGTGTCCGGACGTTGACAAGGACGCTCAAAGCCGCGAGCTTCTCGAATCCGAGATGAATCGGAAAGAACTTGCCCGAGGCGACTACCCCGCCGCTTATCATCGCGACATCATTCTCTCTCCGAGTAGAGAACGTTCCCTCGCCTCGCGACTTGGTCTCTCTCTCTCTCTCTCTCTCTCTCTTTCTCTCTCTTTCTCTCTCTCTTTCTCTCTTTCTCTTCGACTTGGTCTCTTGGCTCGGGCTTGGGCTTGGGCTTATACTTGGGCGTTGGGCTTGTGAGCTTGGAGAACCGTCCCGAGGGAAAAGGATAGAACGAGAGCGACGTAGGGAGGGACGCGATAGAGAGGAGGGCTTCTCTGAGGATCCTCCTACGCGGGCACCCACGCTGCTCGCCGCTGGACAGCAATGGGATGCTGTGTGTGCACAAATCTTCTGCCCTCTTCTTCGATGCCAGAAGGCGGAGTCTTGGCGAGCCAGAAATGTCAGGGGTAGGTGCAATGGACTCAGGAATGGGCCTCTCCGTCGTGCCGCCCGAGAATAAATATTTCAATTTTATATGTATATATATGTAGCGCTTCGCATATACGTAAGATGGTCCGTTATCGAGAGGATGACGGGATCCACAATTCGGAAGGAAGGGAGGATGACGATTCAAAGAAGTTTGTAAATGTAAAATAATATATATATATATATATATATATATATATGTGTGTGTGTGTGTGTGTGTGTGTGTGTGTAAAACAAACAACTTTGTTCTCGAGAAGCGAGAACAAAGTTTAACAGATTAACTTGAAAAAATTGGGAGAAACTGGGAGAGAGGGTGAGAGGGGACGGAGGAGATCCAAAAAGGGCTAAATTAAGGTTCCGCGTCCTTCAATTTATATGTACAAATTCCTTTCTTTTTCACAGAGTTATTTTTAATAATAACTTATACTATCTATATATACGTACAGGTGTTATAGTGCCGATTGAATATAACTATACAGTAACTTTTCATTTTTATAGATCCACATCATGCTTGCTCGTGTCTCGCTTTGACGTTTCACAAAACTCTACATTCTATTAATATATTAATATCTAATAAAATTAACATGTATACATTATTTTTGGAAACGCAAGGTTTCTTTTAGTTGGTGTAAAACCGTTCTCTCGCTCCATCACAAAAACCGACTTTTATAGACTGACAATTTTATTTTCAGATTAGACAATGCGCGCGAAAGAAAAAATATGTTTCATTGATTTTCACACGGCCGAAAAGATTCCGATCTCGACCTTTATACCTCGACTTCGACCTCGATCTTGGCTCTTTGAACGCCATGACGAATCGCGGAACTTTAAGTATCGTAATATATGTAAAATGTAAATAAATTCAAGCAAATAGAGAAGACGTGAAATAAATCGTGTTTCTGAGTATATAGAACAAAGTTTCTAATCTACGTAATTAAAGGCTACCAGAAATGTTTTTTAATGTCAACGGTGAAACGGTACTCTTGCGTCGATATTCCAAATCGCCGAAGGTTACTCCAGAAGAAGAATCGTACGATTTCTCGTGACAAATATATAAAATGCTGTTTTATCGGGACTGAAGGAAGGGTTAAAAAGTTTTGAAAGTTTTCGGAACCTGGATTACTTTAAAGATAAAGATAAAGATCATTAAAGACGATATTTCGCGCGATAGAGATTTCTCTCACGTCACCTATGTTTTGAAGAAGACCACGTAAGCTTGAATCATTCTCCTATTTACCCTTCCCTCTTTTGTCGGGTATAGAGGAGCGTAGAGGCGCGTAGAGGCACCTATTAAAAACGTTGCACGTTTCTTCGCATTTCGCGCAGTTTGCGCAATCTTGGCGGACGTCGACTTGACTACGCTGCTCTTACAATTAGATCGCTCGCGCGTTGTGTGAAGCGAAGCGCTTCGACTTTCGACTCTGACTTGTCCCGCACGCGCGTGAGCGGTGAGGTCTCGTATCTCGCGATACTTGTTACTTGACACCTTGGTAAGAAACAATTTCGCTCGTGCAAGAAACAGCGCTTTTGGCGGACTCGGCTCTCGGCTTTCCTGCGGCATGCGCGCGCGTCGACTGATGTCGATTCTTCACACATGCAACTCGACATAACTAATTAATAGAATACAATACTATCTACGTAATTGTTAATAACACTTACACGAGAATGATTATCGATAAGTAGAATAATTAATCTAATTTTTAATTATTTAGAAAAGTAAATAAATCGAAAATCCTTGGCCGGCTCGTTATGATTTTATTTTTGGCTTGATTTACGGTTTGTATACCTATGATACAATCACATCTCGCGCGTGAAATAAAGAGCTGCAATCGATGTGTATACTTTTTATACATGCTTTGGATATCAATGGAAAGTTGAATAAGATACGTCGCCCATGTGTCGATCGTACGTAGATCTGATTATTTTAATCACGATATACTATACTCTATCCTTCTCCTTTTTTCTTTTCTTTCTTTTTTTTTAACTTTCTTCCCTCTCCCGCTTTCTCGCTTCGGCATATGCGTATAATACGTTCCATTTTGAAAAGTACTACGTACCTAGACTCTATAGACATCTTACTGTTGCTGATCAACGGTTCTAACAACGTTCACCGCGTACCGTAAATTGAAGTTGAACTCTCTGGACGTACAAACGATGACGAAAGTGCGTCGCTAAGGAGCTTAATAAGACGAAGAGATAACGATTGGTGTTATTGTTTAGCCCTTGTACAAACATACGTGTCTCCCCGAATGTGACATAGGTAAAAATATTACATCTGCCGGAACCATCGAGTCTAACGACCTATCTATAAACATAACAAGATTAATAACAAAACTTGAAGAGCTACACTCCAAATTTTATACATATAGATACAGACGTATACCTTTGACGAACGTATACGCGTACAGGTGTAAAGAATAAATGAATGTGTCACGAGAGCGTATGCGTAGTATCATATACTTATATAAGGTAGTACCTGTGTTATGCGTTCGATAGATACATATGAGGTATTCGTGATGGGCAAGATCGAGAGTGACACGTCACGTGCAAAGTTACTTGCTCCTCAAAGGAGGAAAGGATAGATTTTGGAACGAGTAAAACTCGTGATTCGCATATTAGAAATAGTCGGTTGCGTCGGGATGATGGATGCGATACATCGACTTGTGTAAGAAATATGATGGATGTTTTTATGTGAATTTTATTTATAAAAAAGAAATTAATGTACAAGTATGAAGAAAGGAAGTTGAACATGATCGGTCTCAAGATCCCGTACTAAGATCCTCGCGTCGTAGTTTCTCGTAGCTATCGAATTTTTCTTCTGTATTATCGAGGATTAATCTGTGGATTGACTAATAGGGTTGCCAAAGATTGGGATGAACGGGGAACCGAATAAAATGAGAACATAGTAGGGGGGAGCATGGGGGCGAGGGAAGGGGAGGGGGAGGAAGATGATACTAACAGTAGTACGGCGTCGTCCTGTTAACAGGACTGTCTCGATCGGGAAATGAAATGTCCCCCGACCGCAAAAGGCTTCTTCCTTTTCGTATTATTTCGAAAATTAGAATCGCCTATCATCAATGACATTAGTGTGACATCAATCGTTATACGATGCGCGTTCGCGTGTGCTAATTTACATCACATGATTAATATCTTCCCACGTTCATATACGGACATTGTAGCATCGTTGGACGTAATCCAGAGAAGCCTTGCCACCATAATAACCGCGATACAAATATTCCTGTTCTTCGCAGGACAATATATAATGTGCATATTAGTATTTCGTTAACGCTTCTCTTAAAACACTCTAACGGACACTTGCTCTTAAAACAAAATCTTGTTTCTCTTTCTCTCTCTCTCTCTCTCTCTCTACTGTTTCTCTCTGTATTTCACACACATATATAAATGTATATTTATAAAAGTAGGTATGACGTAATAGATGTCGTTTATAAATTTGTGCAACTTACAGAAGTATCAAGCTATAAATACCTATTATATTTTAGGGAATTAAGTTTAGATGATCGCTAGTTCATTATTTGTGTATCGATATCTTTGCTGACAGCATACTTACATAATGAAACGAAGCGAGAACGCTATGTACGTGCGTGTGAATGTGTGTGTGTGTGTAAAACACTATTATCATGTCAATTTTTCTTACGGTGTAAAGTGATCAAAAGAGGTCGCGTCTTTTCTCGAGTAATCAGATATTTGCGAGACTAGTGAGTGTAAATGCAAATGACGAACAAGTTACAAGATGCAGATGTTACGATCGATGAATGGGAAAGACGACGTACAGTGAAAGTGCCTATCTTTCTCTCTACTTTTTACTTTTCGCACGTGTTAAGAATGTCGTAAGACCACGTAAAATTCTCTCTAATCTTATGATTGACCGATTGGTTTTATCACTACTATTTTGTTTTATACGGTAACACGTTTAGCTACGCACTATCACTTACTACTTTTGATAAACTCTGTGAAAAGCAACGCCTCTCCGGATTTTCTGATAGATGTATTCCCGACTTTTTGTAGTTACCTCCACAGGCTTCGTAGTCAATCAAAAATAATAATATAATTATAATAATAATTATTATAACTCATATCTCTCTCTCTCTCTCTCTCTCTCACACACAAGGTCTTAGTGTCTTGATAGATGGTGGGTCGGCGGGCGATAGCAGTTGTAAGATTCTAAGCGTCGCATTCGAAAAGATAAACCTAAGGATTTCACTTCTTCTTATTTTTGTTGTTCGCGCCCCGCGGTGGCGTCACAGGCCGTCCAGCATTCAGACCACCGTAAGTGAATTTCCTCTTGTCGGCCGGTTTCAAAATTTGGAAACTGCACATGAGAGTCTCGTCCACCGACATCATGGCACCTGCATTGTCAAACTCGCCGCAGTAGTTCGGAGCCGAGAACAGGGTCACTAACTGCCGTTTGGCAAAGAATTCGTAACCATCTTCCACCACCTGAAGAATAATTTTTCGATTCAAGATGCATCAAGATCTCGTAAAAATAAAAAAAAATGGAAAAAAAGAACAAGTATCGAATATACACATTTGAAATGATTTTACCTGATGCGCACGGCATATAAGATCGAAATCATGTTTGTGTAAAAACTTGGCAACGACTTCTGCGCCGAAAGTGAACGATACCCCACGGTCGTTTTCTCCCCAACCCATAGTATCTTTATCGGGATCAGACCACAATAAATCACAGAGCAATCCCTGATCAGGTACATCCGTTGGTCGCATGATACGTCTGATCTGCTCCATGCTTTGCAGATCCGGACTCAAGCCTCCATGGCAGCAAAATATCTTTTCGTCCACTATCGCGGCAACGGGTAGACAATTGAAGCAATCGGTAAACGTTTTCCATAGCTTAATGTTGTAACGACGTTTACCTGAAACATACGTTTAGTGGTTAAAGTGGAGGGATAAGCCACGAACCGTATAATTATCTGTAAAAAGAATATCACAATAGAGATATCACACGTCTTCACGCACTCACATTCATCGTAAAATCCATATATCCTGTTAATGGACGCGCATTCGTGATTTCCTCTTAACAAGAAAAAATTTTCTGGGTATTTGATCTTATAGGCAAGAAGGAGACAGATAGTCTCCAATGACTGTTTCCCTCTATCGACGTAATCTCCTAAGAAAAGATAGTTACTTTCGGGAGGAAAGCCACCGTACTCGAATAATCGCAACAAGTCATAGTATTGTCCGTGAATATCACCTTAAGAAAAAAAGGTTGATTATTAAATGAGGTCAATATTATATTAGTTAAATATGTCATGTCAAGTTATACAATATCAAATAGATGTAACTTTTCTTGGAATTTTTGTGCACGATTTGCTTACCACATATTTTCAACGGTGCTTCAAGTTCTAAAAGGATGGGTTGCGATAGAAAAATTTCACGTGACTTAAGACACAGTCCTCTAATCTCTACCTCTGTCAACTGAACATTCTTGCCTGGTCGCGCTCCTCGTACTAAAGAACAATGGAAAAACAATCTTAGTAACGGTAATATCGGTAAAATCATTAACATTATAACCAACATAAATTTTATTCCTCAAGTCTTTTGCAATGTAATTATCAAAATATTTTAATTAAAAAATACAGAAAATATATCGATATTAAGAGAGTATCTGCTTTTAGTTTTGCTCTGTATTTGCATATATTAGCACAGCATTGCAAATATCATCTGAAATATAATATAGAAATAGAGATGTTTTTTTCTCTCTCTCTATCTCTCTCGTTCGTTCTCCACGAGGCTAAACGTCTCTCGCGACACGAATGGACGGATCACGGACCTCGCCCAGAATCGTGGTGACCAGCAGTGACGCGTATGTGCGGCGTCAAACGCGCGTTTTCGCATAAACAAACTACGGCGCGTGCCGTCCAGTGGCGAGAGTTGATCGGAATGCGATCATCATTTTCGAGGACATTGCGTAACGACGACGGGAACGAGATAATGGTCGGGACGGTGTTTCGATATGCCCTTGAGAGAGAGAGGGGGGGAGAGAGAGAGAGAGAGAGAGAGAGAGAGAGAGAGAGAGGCCGGGTCAGGACGGGCGTCGTCGTGGCACGTCCGAGAGCGTAGCAAGAAATTGCGAGTGCGAAGACTGCGAAGGAAACGCGCGGGTGTGACGGGGGCGACGGGCGAGTCGAGAGCAAGGCGATGTTCGCCGCGTCGCGTCGCCATCCCCCCATCCGCCCCTCCCCTGCCGCTTTTCGCTCCGTCGCGACCAGTGTACGGCGATCGACCAGTTTTACCTTCCAAGAGCCGAGCTATGATGTTGTCGATATTCAATTTGTCGGTCTCAGCCATCGAGCCGGGGTCTCGTGCGCGTCCCGAGCTTCACACGGGGCACTTTACTACCAGGGATGATGGTCGGTCTACCGAAATTACTCGCTTACGTGCCGCACGACACGGGATCGCGCTCGCGGCTTCGCACAAGTTACTCGCAATCGCAATGGCCGTCCGGATACTCCGGATAACCGCGCACTCCACTCTCCACTCCCTTCCGCCTCTCTAGTCTCTTCTCCTCTCCTCTCCCCTCACCGCTCCCCTACGATGTCTACGACCCCTTCCCGTACGCGTCTACTCGCAATACTCGTTTCTTCGATCCTCGATCCCTCGAACATGCGCGTCACGTATACTCCCTACAGTCCCTGCTCTTACCAGTCCCTAGACTCCCTAGTAGGGAGTCAATGGGCGATGGGCGCGTTCAGCAGACACAACTGTTGAGTTCGTCTTATCAACACTCTGCATTGATTGGTTGGTTCTAAAAGTAAGAGCCACGCACGTTCGACCGCTACTGAGCAGCTTGGTCTGCTGAACGCGCCAATGACAGTCAATGAGCGGCGGCCATTCGGCCCATTCGGCCAATCTTAAAATAGGGAAAATGCATTCGATATGTCTCTCGCGATATGACTTTACAATGAAGAAGATAGATCGATAGAGGATAGACGAGGAAATCGATTGTCGACGTCACGGAGATATCTGCCAAGACTCCGAACCACCTCCGAACCCGAACTGCCGAACGGTACGGAAAGTGGAAACTACGGAACGACACGATCATACGCGCGTGTCGGTGTCGGTGATATATATCGTATTCATCTTATATCATCTCATCATCTCGTATCTCGTCTCGTATAGCATAGCAAATAGCACGAGCTCTTTAGCTAACAAGCTGACGCTGGCTAACGCCGATTGACGCGTGACGCGTGACGCCGATAGAAGACAATAGAGAAGATGCCGGAGACCGTGGTACGTGTATCGAGAATCTTGACAAAATCTTTCTTTTCCTCTTTCATGTTTCTTGATCCAACGTAGTACATAGATCGCTTGATTACGTACTGATTAAAATTGCGTCGTGAACCATAGGTTATGTTTATTATTTCGTATTCAAAATTAAACGTGAACGCGTCCGAGATAGATACCGCGTGTCTTCTTCGACTAGGGTTTATTCTTTTTTAATCTCAATTTTCTTACAGTTTCCTCTCTCGCGTATATGTATATTTATTTAGAAGCAAACGACGCGTAATTGATTACGTGTCTCTATATTTTTAAGGGTATATAATTATTTAGAAAAACTTACACAGCTTGAATATCCTTGATCTCGTCACATAGATCTTGACATTACAGAAGGTTAATTCCTGTGAGTAAAACACACTTTGAATCAGGTGGCGGTTTCTTATAGTTGGTGAGATAAGTTAAAGATATATATATATATATATATATATATATATACATGATAAAAGTGTATGAATGAGACGTGTTGTAAATACGTGTGTACTGTCTATATATACACATACATCAGCAACGTACTTCCCTTAGTGCCGATACAAACTTATATTTCTCATTGTCAGTTATATTTCTTAGTCACATATTTCTTTATAACTTGAAATATCTCAGGACGTATAAGAGACAGCCGCCTGATTTAAAGCAAGTTTTACTCAGGACATAGGAAACCCTCTATAACATATATCAAGGTCAAGGATATTCGTACTCTGTAAGTTCTAAATAATTGCCTAGTGTTACTTGGTTGTTTTTTTTTTTTTTTTTTTTTCAGCTAAACGGTGATCATATTGACGTGAAAGGTGCCACCTGTAAGCCTCAAGACAAAGAGAATACTGACGAAGAGAATACTGAAAATGACGTGCATTTTGTACCTATAATTTCATTACCCTTGATAGAAGTATCCAACAATGAAGAAGACGAGACAGAGATGTTAAAGCTGTAAGTTATACCCGTTGGTTAGGTGCTGAATAATTCCTGGATATTTATTAAGGATCTCAAGGGATTGTAAGAATAAATATACTTATGCGTATTCTTTCTGTGGATGTTTAGACGGGCAAAGTTGTATCGTTACGATACGTCGAATAATCCTGCGGAATGGAAGGAACGTGGCACAGGAGAGGTAAAACTGCTAAGACACAATATAAAAAATACAGTCAGAGTAGTCATGCGTCGAGACAAGACTCTCAAGATCTGTGCGAATCATTTTATCACTCCATGGATGGAATTGAAACCAAATTGCGGCAGCGATAGAGCATGGGTTTGGAGCGTTCTTGCCGATTATGCTGACGAACAACTCAAACCAGAATTACTCGCGATACGTTTTGCAAATGCTGAAAGTAAGTTCTCGCGTGCCGAAATACGTGTTTTATGTGCACATGGGTATTGCGTATATGTTAAGCGTTAAGCATAATGAAAAGCGATAGCGTATTCTCTGCACTGTTTCTCACTTTTGTTGTTTGCGATAGACGCGTCGATGTGGAAGGATGTGTTTGAGACGGCTAAGAAGATTGTAGGGTCTAAATGTGAGATTTATGCTGGCAAAAGCACGTCAGAGCAAAAGCGCGCTGAAAGTGACAGCGAATCCAGCAGCGATGTAAGTTACAGCGAAAGTACTGATAACGAGGACCAAACGAAATCGTTCAAGCGGAAGACTGAAGACTGTGACGCGCGTTCTCAGCAGAAGGATATTAAGAAAGAGACAATGGAAGAGAAAGATGTGGTAACGAGCGAAGAGACAATACGCAACGAAATCACAAAGTTAAAAGTGAAAAACGAAGGTGAGAAGTAATGCGTATGTATATTCAATGACACGAATATATATATATATATATATATTATATATATTCGAGACAGAGTTTATCAAAAGGCACATTCTGACATTACGCGCGCAGACATATATTACACATGCCATTGTTTCATTATTTGAGGCGTAAACGTGCATAGATACATTTTTAGCAATAATATTATGGGAAAGCTTATTAAATTTTGTTCCAAGCGTGTGAAAACTGTATCTACCATGAACATATTATCTGTGATTTTTTTAAAACGACGTAAATCTGATATGAACGTGCATTTGTACCGAAAGGAATGTATGTGAGGGATGTATGTTGACTCTCTCTTTGCCGAGAAACGAATAAATACAACGACACGTGTACGAACAAAAGTCTCTCGAATTTTAATTTGTTCATTATTTCACAAAAATGATGCATTATATCACATGTTTTTTGATAGGTTTTTTAAATGCGTGCGCGTTATGTTTTCCTTGATTAAGAAGAGTAAATAGCACGTTGTGAAAGAGTACATAATAATCGATATAAACGTGATCTCAACCTGCCTTTACTTTATTTAGATGTAACGTCTTAATCCACACAACCTGTGACAACCTTCCATTTTCTTAGACAATATTTTTAATTAATTTTAATTGTCTACTGCTATTTTGTGCAATAGACACGAGAGATTTATTTAACACATTCTCTGCCTATCTATTGGATCCGTACAATTTGACATTTTCCATCAATTTCTAAATTATTGTATGACCCAAATATGATTAATTATATATCGCTCTCTCTCTCTCTCTCTCTCTCTCTCTCTCTCTCTCTCTCTCTCTCTCCCTCCCTCCCTCCCTCTCTCTCTCTCTCTCTCTCTATGTATATATGATATATAAGATTATACAGAGTGTTCCATTTTTATCTTTCCACGCACGTATCTCCCAAACGAGAGACACGTTTGCGTGGAAAGTTTAAAATGGGACATCCTGTATATATATATGATTACTTATATATATTAAAACAAAAGAACGTAAAAGGACGTGAACACGTATCACGTGTTTTTACTCGGTAGATCGGTTGCTTTATAACTTTATAAGTACTTGTGTTATATGTTGTGTATAGAAAAATGAAATGTTTAAAGTGTTAAGAAAGAAAAAAGAAAAAGATTGCGTGAAATATGCATGACGCGCAAATAACGTTGGGTATTTCGCGTTTGTAGAGTAGAAAAAGCAAGAGAAATACTTACGTAAAGAGGAATGAAACTCTGAGGAAAATAATTTCAAGTAATGTGGGGTATCTTTTAAATATAGACACAAGAGCGTCTGAGTGTGTACCTTGTAGGGTCCTGTTTTTATAGCCACTTGTATAAAACTTGTTTGACGGATGAAATAATCCAAGTCATCCAAGATACGCGCGACACACTCGGACTAACGATAACGACTTGGTTGCTCTAGATGTTACACTTCGTGTTAGTTATTATTATCATTAATAAATCGAGATTCGAGCCTATCTATAGCTCATCCCTCGCTGAAAAAGATTGCAAGATGTTTCGTCTCTCTTCCATCGTACGCTTCTTTTGATCGGACAGTTTCCCTCTATAAAGAAGTCCCTGTACCCGTGTCTCTTCCGTTTGTACAAACACGTCTCCCCGCTCGAGGATCTTCTCCATAGTCTTGACGTAAATTTTTGCTGCCTCTCGTTGTTCTTCCGGTAAAGTCTCTTCAAAGATTCTTGCCTTTTTCAATATTTCCTGGGGAAAAAGAATAAATATGTGCCTCATATAGAGAAAGTGCTTGTTATTAAGCATAGTTATTTTTGAGCATAATCCAATGAAACGTAGATTGTTTTGGTGAACTTTTCTCAAGTCCTTTCGTGCGTCCTTTACCTGCCTGTCCTGCTCTCCCGCGGCTTTGAATTCTTCGGCTAGCCTATCCAACCGTTCCACGCATCCCGGTAGGCCTAAGTATACTCTCGATCGGGATCTGATAAATCGCTTCAAGTATTCGCCCGTAAAATCGGAATCCCTCTCGGGAGTGAATCTGATTGGTGTCGATTTGCCCTGTACAAATAATAAAACTACCGGGAAGTCGTCCTTCTTAATGTTGTAGCGTTGCGCCAGGTCGGAGTTATCCTTATTGCCAAAGTCCTTGACGCCCACTGTGGCTATCAGGAGATCTTGCGAATCTTTGGTATCGGCCGCTACGGTCGCGTATTGCTCGTGCTTGCCACCGTACGGAAATGCGACATCGAATTTAACGAGTGCTGCCTTAAACCTCGGGATAACCTGCGAGAAAAACGTTTTTCGTCACATTTTGGACACATATATAACTCTGTCAAGTTCTATACGCTATATCTATATATTATATATAATCAAAAATGAGCAAGAATACGCTAATAGTTGAATCGTTTTATTTTACGTTTTACATTTACATCCTGGGAACTGGGAACTGGGAACTGGGAACCGTCCCATTGACCACACAATTTTTTTTTTTTTACTTGAAAAAGTAGAATCTCTAAAAAAATCTTAACAAGAGTATATTTAAAAAAGATTCTTGTATATTGCACGTAACACACTGTAAAACATGTAACATTGTATCTAAACATTTTTTAAGTATCTCTTATATCGAAAGCAAATATAGTATATGGAATAACAGTTTTTCAATTTTTTACGTGTAGTCATAAAATGAAATGGTAAATTGAAAAATATCAGACTAATTTAGCTTCCAAATTCGACTTTATCAATCACATCCTATACTACATCTATAATATTGCATTCACAATCATAATTATTTGTGCATATAGTTATTTAAAATAGCAGAAATTTTATATTAAAGAATTTTATATCAAAGAGAGACGAAAGAGAGAGAGACAGAGAGACACATGTCAACATTCAGTCAATTCACTGGAGTTTGATAGGGTCGATATCTTTGTCATAAATATAAAGAATAGTTATATGAATGTTAAAGTACGTTGTCAATAGTAATGGAACTCGCTAACGTGGCTGATGGTAACCATAGTAACTATGAATGAAAATAGTGAAAATTGATCGTACTCTCTCTCTCTCTCTCTCTCTTTCCCGGTTTCTTAATTCTTTAATTATATCTTTCTCAAGTACATACGTAATATAGATACATATACAATACTTATGAGCATAGATATAAAATGCATGCTATAATAATATGCTAAATGCTAAAGATGCTACTTAAATTATATGCCGCAAGACTGTGTCAAGTTATAAAATAAAGTTTTTAATACTATAGGTACTATAGTTATAATATTGTATTAATCATTAATTTTATTCATTTAACTTCTGAGATTCTGCTGATGAGAAGAAAATTTCCATATTAAATCTCATCATCTTTATAGTCTTTCACGTTTTTCACACTTTCGTACCTTGTCGAACGAATACGAATCCAAGGGCACGCATCCTTTGCAATCATCACCGACGGTAAAATGCGAAGCAGCGATGACGATCAGGACGAGGATGAGCACGAGATTCGATCGAATCATGATAGGTAAGACGCGCGACATTTGTGTGCGACTACTCGATTTTCATCCGTCTACTCGAAACTCGACGTAATCACGTAACCACTCCGTTCTTGTCGTCGTCTAATCTTCCTCGTACTTGTGCTCGTACTTTCGCACACCCGCGGGTGACACTCGCAAAAGGGTGACGCGTGACGCGCGCGTGTAACACCTAACACGTGAAGCAGCAACGTGTCCGGTCCGGTCCGGTGTCAGTTCAACGAACCGGCTTGAAGCTTCGTCCGCTTCGTGAGCTTCGTCTCACACGCAGTTTGTCCCGATCGTAGTCAGAGAGAGTCCGATGAAAACTACAAACGCGCTAGTTCAAGTGCGTCAAGAAACAGGAATGGAATGGAAAATCTCCTACGTGTCCTTATATATTTTTGCATATACGATCGATCCTTTCTACTCTAACGATAACATCTTCTGTCTGGACTAAAGTTTATTCAAGTCAGCTGTTTCTTCTCTAGGTTCTCCTTCCTTTCCAGTTCTCCCACTACTCGCATTTGCCGCGTGACAACGTGACCGCATGTATGTATGTACATATGTACGTACACTTTACGCATGTGCCACTGAACTGACTGAACAAGAATATAGGGATCAAGGGAAAGAACCTTAGGGAAAACGCCAACGGTCCTCACGAGTCTGGAGAAATCGACGGTCGATTATTGTATATTAAAATTGATACACCCACAAGTGTTTGAAAAAAGTAATACAAATTTTATAAGAAATAGATTTAAAAAATTAAAAGATTTATATATTAATATACACGTGCAAAAAAGAAAATATTCTTTCTAATACTATGTCGTTTCTAAATTGAAAAAACTGATATCTCCTTTATCGCATGCAACACAGAGCTATATAGTTGATTCATTTTTCATTTTAACACGTACAGTGGTTGTATGACTTTTTTTCATGTAAAAGAAATTACTTAAGTTACAGAGATTATTCCTATGTAATAATAATATTTTTGGCGACGGTAAAATTGTCATCTTTCAAGATTTAAGATTCCAAATTTATGATTTCTAGTTGAAATCGCATTACGTTTATCATACATTTGAATTTTTATCAAAACGTATCGAACGTGCCAAACATTTTTCATCATATTATAAATAACAAATTAATTTTTTTTATCGTTACCAATATCTCTCTCACATACTAAATCATTTTCCCTTTTTGTGCTCTAATCTTGGTCTTCCCTTCTTCGTAGTCGGCTTATCCTTTCCTTTATTTAGCAAGGGATGAGTTTCTGCAAAATTTCATTGTTAATTTAGCGGAATACCGGTATAAAAATTATATATCAGCCACCGCGCGACTGCTCGTGTGTGGCTGACAGAAACATAATTATTCCAAGATAAAATTAAGCTGTGCGAGCATAATTATTTTACACGCAGGTGAGATCCATACCATCGATCGGTGCCCCCTGTAAATCTATATCGTGTGAACGATGTTTCTTTATTGGCGGTTCGTGTGGCGTTACTTGATTATCCTCCGAATCTTCCACATCTGGAGATATAGGTAGAAACTGAAGAGAGCCGATATCTTCAGTCTCCTCGTCGGAGCTGCAAAATGCAGCAACTCTGTCAATTGATGCAACGTCGACATCTATTTCCTCATCCTGAGCTTCTTCTCCTTGTACGACAGACTTATCTTCGTCGCTCAAATCAAATTCACTTTCCCTTTCCTCGTATTCAACATTTTCATCCAACTCTTTGAAATCCGGCGCGAACGCAGACCAATTCTCTACCTGATTTTGTGCCCAAATAGAAACTACGCCTGATGATATGGATGCGATTATCGGCCTCACTGGATGCCACTGGCGAACGAGGAGGGAGAAATACAAGCGTGTGTGCATCATACGAACAATTTTTTATCACGTTACATTTTATAGCCAAAGAGATTTATATGGTATATGGTACGTATAAAATCACGTTTCTTACCACAACGTCGAGTAAAAGCTCGCCTTTGGTCCCATGTAAAATTTTCACCAAGTTTCCGATACTCTTTTCCCATACGTATAACGCATGTTGTCTCGCTGACCCAGCGCACACGTATTCACCATCCCCCGAGAAGCAACATTTTTTCCACATTGTTTTGTTTACAAGATCTTGCAGTTTTTGTATCGGCTCGGGTTCGCCATCCTTGCCACACGCTAATATTTCGGTACTGTCATATACGCGAATTACTCTATCAGCGGTATTGACCAGAAAACAGGAGCCTCGTCGTGCAAACTCTATGCTTTTTACCGCTGTATTACTAGCAGTACCTTGCGTTATTTTGTAAGAGGCTTTTACACTTAGCGTCTCAGCATCAAGAACTAAAACTCTACCACGAGCATTTCCTGTATACACGTAATCTCCGCGTCGGTCGAATGACGCTACTATATTTAAATCACTCTGAAATTATAACAATGTTATTTTTACCAACGCCGTACTCTCTCTCTCATGTTGTATCGCTATTAATTTCACGTAATAGCAATATTTTAGAATATATTTTTAAAAGTTGTATTCTTATACACGAGGATACACAAAAGAGACTCGACTGGTAACGTGTTTGTATATGTTTTCGATACGAATATTTGCTAATAAAAATTGATTTTATCAACATAACACTTGAGATATTTACTCGTGTCACGTTTCGCAAATGTTATATATACACATGTACAAGTGTATGGCACTTGATAGTGGCCGTAGTATGTCGTTATATACGAATAATGTTAATATCAAACGGTATGTATTATATTATTACATACGTCTTCATCAAGTGGTATAACTCTATGTGTTCCTTCGACATCGACCATGACGGCGGCATGGCGCATTGGGCATACCAAAAATTTGTTGAGATTTCTCGGGTGAAACTGTACTTTTAATATTGGAGAAGGGAATCTATATTTCTGATCACATTCTCCAGATAAAACGTCCCATATACATACATTATTGTCTGTGGATGCACTTAATAATTTATGACCATTTCTAGACCAACTAAAAGATACAGTTACATTAGTATTTTCGTTCCTCCAAACTGTTCCTTTTCGTTATATTATCTTCTAAACCACGTATTCTCTCTATTTAAACTACTATACATATGTACAACGTTTACAAAACTATAAATAAACCGTACACAACCTCTGTTTTATCTTAGTCTAGAAAATGTCAACGTTTCAACGAACTCACCTCAATGAACATACCGGATGTACATGAGCACTAATAATTTTAGCGATACCTCGAGTCAGAAAATCCCAAATAACGATTCTTCCATCGTTGCAGCCCACAGCAAGTAATGTCCCTCTTTTATTAAATGTACAGGTTACAGCAAGGGATATACAATCTAATGTGCCATCAAATTCCTAGTACGTTTTAAATCTATTAAAAATCTTTATATATCTAATTATTTCATTAATAAAATCACAGTTTGACATTGTAAACATACTTCTGGGTAATTTTGACCAAATGACTCTGTAAAAAAAATATATATATATTAATGTATACGTGTTGAAGGATAACTAATTTTATTATCATTATGCGCAAATATCTCATAACTATTTATTTACCTAACAGTTCCAAGTTCATCTCTGCAAAATCGATTTGTTTTGTTTTTTATGGTTAGGTTATCCACGCTATGTTATCAGCTAATGGAGCATTTACATGCTCCACGACGACCACGACCGATTCTGGTATTATTTAATACGAGAACGTCTAGGGACTTGTCCAGCCAACAATACTTTTGTTTCTAGGAAACATCTCTTCTAATTGGTCGCGTTCAGCAGACCAAGCCGCTCAGTAGCGGTCGAACGTGATTGGCTCTTACTTTTAGAACCAACCAATCGACGCAGAGTGTTGATAAGACGAACTCAACAGTTGTGTCTGCCGAACGCGCCCATTGGTTATTGAATGTACTTTGTACATATGTACATACATACATACATAAATCGGGAGAGGGAGGGGATATCATAAAATGATCTTTTTGATTAAAGATTTTTTAACATTACATGACATAAATAAACTTTATTGACTTTTAATACATAAGATACAGATAACCATTAGAAAATATATAAAAGTTCTTTTTATATATATAATTCTACGTCTTTAATTTCAATTTATAGACCGCGCATTTTCTTATTGCTATTTGAGATTATATTCAATAGTCGATATACCGAGTTTAGTTTTCATCTTTATATTTCGTCTAAAATGCAATATTCAAGTACTACATGTTATATAACTTTTTTTTTAAATTATACTATGTTTTATTATCAATGGCACTCGTTTATTTGCCACTTCCATCGACATGTCATTCGCTTGTACTGCTCCAATATATACCTGAGAATAGATATTTTATAATCTACAATCCATTGCACCTAATAACGTTTACACGCTAAAATATTTGAATTCATTATAATTTTATTGTAAAGAATATACGATATTTTTTAATATATCTAATAAAATAACGCAACAAAAATCACAAGTGTCGTCCTATGATTTTTAACGTATAATAACAATTTATTTGAGAGCAGAAAAAAGGAATATTAGATTAGAACGATTTTGCTTACTTCTCAGCTGCACACGCTCCCATCCAATCGGACATATCAATCATCATATGGGACACGCGTTCTAAATATTGCTTTATGCACAGCATACGTACATCTTCCGAGTAGCATTGAAACGGTGTATAATACGTTTCGTGTAAAATCATAATATTGCTACAACTTTCAATTTCTTTACCAAATATTTGCCACACCTGAAGAAGAAACGTATTGTTGCTACGTGAAGAAACATTTGATTATTTGCACTTAATATTTATTATTATACTTTCTAG